GTATATAAACTCTTTCTATGTAAGCAGTAAACCTGAACTGGAAGGCCCAGGATAACCCAATCTCAGAAGCTAAGCAGGGTTGACCTGGTTAGTACCTGGATGGGAGAATACCAAGAAAGTCCAGGGTTGTGACACAGAGGCAGGCAATGGCAACCCACCTCTGAATCTTGTCTTGAAAATCTGATGGAGTTGCCATAAATCGGCTGTGAATTGATAACGCTTTCCACCACTACATGTAAACAGTGAACTTCAGTTTGTAGGCTGTAGTCCAGAAAAAGTGGTTTCAACTAATTTAAGGCAGCACTTAAACAGGAATAATTTTATCTGGACTGAGGCTGTAATGTCAGTATTGAACTTTAGATAAGAAGAATGCCTACTACTGAGAATTGTGAATGTATTATTATTTGGATGAACCTCAGTGCTAGGAGGCTGCCCACCCCCATGCCTGCAAAAATCAAAACATTAACACAGTAGCAACCAGTAGAAATCTTGAGTGCCCAAGGAATGAACATCTCAAATTTTCATTTGGCAGGCCAGAACAGGTAATGTCAATATTGCTGAAGAAATTCTCACAACTGAGCAAAACCTGGTATTTAAGTAAGTAAAAGTCAAGAGGAGAAAAGGTCTTATTATAGTTGTCAATAACATTGAAGACAATTTAGTATTTTCAGTGAAGCACTGTGAGAATAATTCTTCTTGTATGTAATTAAGAAAGCATTTTTATTCTCAGTAATAAAATACTCTTTTGTTAAATGTTGGTCTTAATCTGATTCAGCTGTATCTCACACTGAAATCAAAGTCACATTCTAAATGGAGCACTGTTCAAAACTGAAAATCTCCCTCAAACACACACACAAAGCACACAAAACCTGATTGATCACTACTGAAATCACCAGTTTTTTCCTATTGCCTCATCATCATCATCATCATCATCAAATAAGCCTTGCTTAAGCAGGCAATATGGTGAAAAAAGTTAACCAGTAAATACCCCCATAATTAGTAACACAATTTCCCTCTAATACTCTCAAGAACACAGTAAAGCTTTTTATTGGTTGATTTTCAGTTACATTTAGGAGGAACACTCAAAATGCAATCCTATCAAAGCAGATGGAACATGTTCTGAATTTTAATTTTGACTGCTGGTCTTATGTTGAGATTACATACCTAACCTTAGAAAAATAATGAGTAAAAATATATAAGGGTGCAGGATCAAATTTCAGTAACATCAGTTTATTCCGATTTTGTTAAGTGTCTCCTCTGGAGATGATGTAGCAGAGAAAAAACCCCTCCATTAGTATTCCACAGCATCAGAACATAAAACAGGACAGGCATTTCCAATGGTGCTGGATTTCTCAGTGTTTGGTGAGGTAAGGATGTGTGGCTGATGCCAATATGGGGAAACCCCTATATAGTCACAACATTAAATGGCTATTTTTATTCCATGTTGTTTGATGGGGGGTGGAGCATGGATATGATTTTCATGTTTCTTCTCTTATGTTCCCAAAGTAGGAGTGCAAGATGCTTCATTTTAGAAGGTAACTGTAGTGCAAGCAGTACTAATTATTCAGAAACAGAATGTCCATTGCATACTCTGCTGCAAACTGAGCCATGTGTGCAAGTGTAGTTGTCTACAATCTGGATCTCATTGCTTCAGCACTTGCCATTCTGAAGCATAAGTATGTGTGTGTGTATATATATATATATATATACACACCTGTGCTTTTCACAGATACGCACCTGTGCTTTTCACAGATAGCCAACTTGGTGAACTCATACCATTTAGCATATGAAGAAGAGATTTGATTTATACCCCACCGTTCACTCGGAGTCTCAGAGCGGCTTACAAACTCTTTTTCCTTCCCCTCCCCACAACAGACACCCTGTGAGGTAGGTAGGGCTGAGAGAGCTCTTTCCAGAACTGTCCTTGAGAGAACAGCTCTGACAGAACTATAGCTTGCCCAAGGTCATCCAGCAGCTGCAAGTGGAGGAGTGGGGACTCAAACCCAGTTCTCCCAGATTAGAGTCCACACACTGAACCACTACACCAAACTGGCTCTCACACACCAAACTGGCTCTTTAAGTGCACTGATTTTCATTTCTACCCTTCAGAGTGAGATTAGCAACTCTTTCAAGTAAAAGGGATAAAAATTAAACAAACATGATAATACACAGACATGAACATCTGAATGTTGTTTATACACCCATACAGATCTGGGGGGGGGGTTTAAAAATGAAGCCTGCAAAATCAATGAAGTATATGCTATCCATTTCCTTTTCAACTGAGGAGATAATTGTTTTAAACAACGGATGCCATAACACCCCCCTTGAAAAATCAACCGAGTTTCTATTGTGTTTTAGTTCATGAACCAGAATGTTTGTTCACATTTATTGTTCCATCTCCCTGTCCCTCCCCTCAGTTTGCTACTCTTGCCTTTATCCAACAAAATGTAGATAGGTTCCTATTCCAAGGAGCATACCACTTTTCACTCTTTTTAAACCATTTTGTAAAGCACCATGTTCCTTAATGGTACAGTACAAAGTACAGTAATACCATTCTTAACAACTCTGTTGGAGTTTTTGCTTCTATGAGAAAGGGTCGGTGGAACTCCATGTTGGGTGGCAAGCTGGGGTACAGAGCAGGAGAAATAAATAGATCCCATTGGTTCACTTTTGTCTTTAGTGCTGGCTGATCTGGAGACAGTAAGATGTTCACTTTACAGTTCTATGTTTATCATCATGGGAAATATTGTTCAGATTTTCTACCTCAATTACCTCTATCTATTGCCTCTGTCTACTAGGCCAAACAAATAATTTCTAATCTAGTGCCAAGTGGGTTAACACTGGCAGAAAAGTCTAGACTGGGGAATTTTATTATTTTTTTCCAGCCAAAACACGAACCCCACAAGCTCTCTGTTATTGCATCTATATGTATAATGACTGGAACAGCATCTTAGTGAGTCACTCTATAGAGTTCGTGGCAGACCAATCTGGTGGCACTGATGTTTCTGCAGCATCATGGACATTAGATAAGAGAAGTGACAGGCAGCAAATGTTTGCAACAGCTCGATTCTGCAGACAAAAAAAGGAAAAGATTCATAGAATTACTAAATACTTGAAATTAGTATACCACTGTCGGAAAGCTTTGTCACTATACAATTCATGCTCTCCGACAAACTTTCCACTTCTAAGGCTCCTTTTATTTTTAGCTTCATTCCCATCTATAGAAAATGACAGATGATAGTATTAAAAGTATTTTGAAATGCAGAAAGATACACCTTAAGCTCAAGCATTAAGGCAGAGTTGAAGCTACTCTTAAATGTGAGATCAGAACCAAAACCTAGTGGAGGGAAAATGAAAGGCTTTATTTCAAAAGGTGTCTAGGATTAGGGCCTTCTTGCATAGTCAAACAAATTGTAAGAAGAATATGACTCTCTAAAAAAGTGGCAATGAGTGGAATCACAAGGCTCCCTTGCAAGTATAACATAGTTCAGAATGTAACAGGATTTGAAAAATGCAGAGGTGATCCTAGGCAAAGAATGCTGTACAAAAACTGACTTTTTCATCACAGTATTTGACAAGGAGGAGGGGAGGTTTCACAGTTGTCTAAGTACTGATAATAGGGCTACTCTTAAGGCCCTAGCACAGAAAAATCATATACAACACTTGAACATTTTCCTCAAAATTTATCAAATTTATGGAGGAAGGTGGAGGGGGAAAGGGAGATATAATTTCTTACGACAGAGCATTCATATATAATTTCTAACGACAGAGCATTCATTTGTGAAAAGCAAAATATGTCTCTGAAGGTGACTAATATGACACAGATTTTTAAAATGGAAAGTAACTGCACATGAAATCTGTGCATGAGAAAATTACCATCCATGTAGAGAATACTAAGGCTCATTTTACGTATCATTTTAGTCATAACAGTGGCGATTTATTTTTTGTCGATGCCAATCAAACATCAACTTTTTGTTCTTAGGACAGACGTACAATATTGGCTTATGAGTACTAACAGCTTTTAAGAAAGGAGGGAGAGAACAAGATTTGTTTAACACCAACTATACTATATGCATCCAATATGTGAAATAACAGCAAATGTCAGGAACATACAGTGCAAAAAAAATGGAAAGCAGATTGCAAGCTTTGGCGCTAGAGTGTGAGGGCACACACACACGGACACGCACACACAAACATACTTTTGTTGATTGTTAGTTGCAGTTTGACAAGTTGTTAAACAGAAAAGGTGGCACACATCTGTACAAAAAAAAAATCCCATACAGGAATGAGTTGCTTTTCTCATGCTGGTTTCTTATTTAGCACCCCTTCCCAATTTGACCACACCCATCAAACCCATTTATTATACATGTCAAGGGGCTATTATAATCAGACTACCAGTGCTAATTCTTCCAGGTCTCTGCTCTGTGGAACTACTAAAGATTTGAGCAGCATGCATAAATCATGTATAGTTCACTCTGCATAGTCTTTAAAACAAGCCAGTTGTGGGGGGAAAGGTGAGAAACATCAGCAAAGGGCTTTCAAAATACAGATCGCTGAGAGGCAAAGATCTCCTAGCAGAGGAGTGTGGATGACAAACTTTAGTTCATGAGCAGTCATGCTGGATGGAGGACTCTCCAAAGGTGCTGTCTGAAAGCTTTCCAATTCCTACAGTGGCTCTACGAGGCATAATCCAGGAGACACAATAATGTTAAGGCCAAAATGAATTCCTTTTGCAACATTAGTGGGAGCGTAATAAGATGCAGCAACATTTTTTACCAAGGCTCCGAGAGACACTGCTTTTGAGCTACTTCCACCCTAAGAAAGAAGCTATGCAGTATTTGCATGGCTCTCCTCTGCACTGAGCTCCTCTACCATTACAGCAGTGCTTTCCAGAGAGACAGTAACATGGTTAGAAGGATCCACCTACCTGCAGAAACAGAGGCACAGAATGCAGTTAAGCCCCCTGCCCTGGAGAACTGCACTTAACTGCATTCAAAAAGTCAGCTTGTGCATCGAAACCGTATCAATTTATGAAATGCTTGTTTGAAGTCTTCGTTGGACATGGTGTAGATGATGGGGTTGATCAAAGAGTTAAGGTATCCCAACCAAGTGAAAAAGTCAAAGATTGCCATGTGAAACCAGCAAGCATCTTTACAAACAGGCAACACCAAGGTGATGATGAAGAAGGGTAGCCAGCATACAATGAAGGCTCCTAAAATAATCCCCAAAGTCTTAGTAGCTTTCCGTTCTCTAGCAGCTGTCAACTTCTTTTTTTCCAGCAGGGCATCCGACACCTTCACTTTGACTTGATTCATATATACGGGAGATCCCGTTTCACTGGAAGCCTCGGAGGCTTTGCAGTTTATGGAAGCGACTGACGAAGTGGACCCAGGAGAATCAGTTATTAAGTGAGCTCGGGTTAACCTTTTGCCCATGTTCTTTGGTGTCTGTTTCAAAATCCGAGATCTGGCTTCCACGTAGATCCTTCCATACAGGATGATCAGTAATAGGGTGGGGAAGTAGAAGGCTCCCACTGTGGAATAGATTGTATACAAGATGTGGTCTGTGTTCACCACACAGTCAGCCACCTCTTCAGCTTTCGACTGGCGCCAGAATAAGGGGGGCATCGAAATGGAGATGGAGAAGACCCACACCAAAGCAATCATGCCTGCTGCCCTCTTAGGAGTCCTTTTGGTCGAGTATTCAACCGCATCAGTGATGGCCCAGTATCTGTCCAGGGCAATCACGCACAAATGGAGAATGGAAGCAGTGCAACAAGTGATATCTGAAGAGAGCCAGATGTCACAGACTATCTGGCCCAAGGTCCATTTTCCAGTCACAGTGTACATGGTGCTGATTGGCATGACAAGGATGGACACCAGAAGGTCAGTGACAGCCAAGGAAGCTATGAGATAGTTGGCTGGCGTGTGGAGCTTCCGAGTCTGGTAGACCGTGGCGATCACAAAAGCATTGGACAGCATGGTGGCCAAAGTGATAAGGGCCAAGATGAGGGTCAGGACAACCTTCCAGGAGAGAGGGGTGGCATCTTGGTAGGTGGCCGCTTCTTCACTGCAGTTCTGGGAATGGTAGGAGTCATTGGTGTGGAACACGCTCAGGCTGTCCAGAGTTTCCTGGCAGGCTCTCGGCTGCTCCATCCCTCAAAGGGCTGGGGGCTCCAGAGGGCTGCCAGGCTCAGCAACTCCAGACGGGCGGCGCCCGCAGAGCGCGCTGCATCTCAAGAGCAGCCCGCGCGAAAGGGCGGGCGGGGGGCTGGGCATGTGCGCGGGGCTCATCCAATGGGGACGCCTCCCGCGTCCCGACGGACCATGGCTCGCGCCGCCAGCCACCCGCCGTTGGCCAAAACCAACCCGGCGCTTCAGCACCTGCGGACGTCCCGGCAGGGCGACCTGCAGCAGAAGCAGCCAATACCGTGGTCCAAGCGACGACGCATCTTCCCGCTTTCCGCCCAAGGAGGCAGCCTCGGTGGAAGTTAGAAGCGGCGGCGGCGGCAGCTCCCCGGGGTCCTAGAGCAAAGTCGGCTTGAGGGGCTGTAGGGCGCGCCTCGCTTTCTGGGAACCTCCGCTTACCTTGCGCAAAGCCCCACAGACGACGAGTAACTTTCGCAGCAGCCGGACGACTGGGCTGCTCCCGGGTAGGCAGCCGCGCGACTGATCGGAGAAGCGCGCGCGTGTCTCTGCGCACAACGTGCAGGCGAGGGAAGCGACTGCCCAGCGCGCGGCTCCTACCGGGGCTATATATACCGCCCACTCGGCTTCCACTCTGCTCTGCGCGAGCCCGAGGCGGCAACTCGTGGCGGCACTCTCCCAGCGCTGACTCCCGGCCCTTCGCCACCGCCCCGTCTCTGTCTGCCCCCGCGAGAAGCCCGCTGGGTCCTAGCGCCTGCCTGAGACTTTGGCCACCGGCGCCTCAGTTTCCCCGCCAATTCCCACCCTCCCCACCGGTTCCTTTCGAATTTCTTTGCGGGTTCTTCGTCGTCGGCCCTGAAAAAGGAAAGAGAAAGGCCACAAATGTATCGCTAGGAAGGCTTCTGTGTCACCTGCCCCTAAAAACGGCAGGGGCAGAAATGACGCGAGTCAAAAGATGATGAGGCGCTGGGGCGAGTGTGTGGTGCGCGCGCGTGTGAATTAAGTCGTTTTTCCGCTCTCCGTCTTGCGCCACCCACCCTCCAGTGATGCCGACGAGCTTTGATAGAAACCAACTTAGTCTCATTGGCTAAGGCCGGTCAGATCCAGCGAGAATTAAGTGGCCACCGGCGTCTGCCTCTTTTCACCCTTTTCGCCACCTCCGCCTCTTCTTCTTCCTCTTCCTCCTCCGCCGCCGCCCCGGAAGGCTTGACGCTCCATGGGGCCACAATCCTGTGCCTGCGTGCTTGACCCCAGACTCCTTGGAACCCAGGGGACCTTCCTTCCCCCTCCAGGCCTGGGGCTCAGGTTGCTCCTGGGCTGTGGCGGATTCGAGTCAGCAGATACGACATGGACCTAAGAAAAGTGGCCAAACGTTTCTGGTTTGCCACCCTAGTCCACTTCTACATAGGAAGCACTGAAGGTCTTACTTCTGACTGAACATGAGCTCTCTCTCTCTCTCTCTCTCTCTCGCTACCTACTTACCTACTCTGTCTGTCTGTCTGTCTGTCTGTCTGTCTATCATCATGTCCCAGTGGTTCCTAAGATCAAACACAACTCACAGTGGTGAGTGGTGTGAACAACCTGAGGCGCGGCCCCATGCGTGTTTACACGGAACGGAAGGGTGCCCCAGTGAGGTCCATGGACCTTCCTTCTGGATAAAGGGTCACCGGATCTCAGTCTCAGTGTGTCCCGCGTTCCCGAAAGGGGTCGTTGGCTAAACAGTCTCTGTTCTCGCGAGCATTCACGTGACAGGTTTGATCGAAGATTTGCATGCAGTTTAATGGGGGGGGGGGGACCCGAGCAAACGCGAAGGAGACCACGGCAGGCGAGCTGGACTGATGGGGTATCCTCAGCCTGAGCGGCCGGAATTATAGCGAGGCGGCTTGGAAATGCTCGAAGGTCCCGGTTGACCAGGGCTTCCGATTTCGGTAACAGACGCTGGCGTGAAATGGATCGCCGTTATTTCCACGGCGGCATCCCGACCATCTGGAGTGGGCAGGAGAGAGCGCTCCGACTAGAAGCCCGGCGCTTGGATGGAGCGGAGCTCAGTTATTGTCATCGGTTTATTATGAAGGCGGGAAGTCCTCAGTTATGATCGTTAGAGCATTATTATTTTGCCAGCTCCCGTGTGGTTTGCTCGAAAGCCTTGATGATTTGTGTCAGATCGACACAGGCTCATTCTTAAGACTCGGGGAGATGTTCTTTGCTTATCGGACTGGCTGCGAGGATCCTGCTACCTGAACCGGGGAGGGGGGGTGGATCTTTTTCGATGTGATCGCCCTTTGGCTGATGTGATATATATATATTTTAATGGAGGGCCATCTTCCAAATGTCCTTATGATGCAAGTAAAACACACTGGCCCAACTTTCAAAGGAAAATGTGCAAAAGGTAAAATCCTGCCCCCAGACCAAATCCCTGGGCTCAGGTTTGCCCCCGAGTTAAACTCAAGGGGAAGCTGCAGCCACTCACAGCGACTGTGGTACACTTTATACGATGATACAAGTATGTCTTTGGTCGGTATCTAACAATGTATTACAAGAGGTAGCCGCTCTTTGAAAACAGGTTCTCTTGCTGACATTCTGAGATGGGTAATACACCGTAAAGACGTGCTTGGTCGGTATCTAACAATGTAATACAAGAGGTAGCCGCTCTTTGCATTGAAAACAGGTTCTCTTGTTGACATCCTGAGATGGGTAATACACCGTAAAGACGTGGAGTATTTGCAGAGGTATCTCGACAGCTAGTGTGGAGTGATAAAAGGGAGGGGGGTCTTGACTAGGACCTTGGAATCCTAAATTCACATCCCCACTCTTTGGGCCAGAAACTCTGTCAACCAGATAAGTCTCACAAAGTTGTGAGGACAACATTGGAAGGGGGACACACCCCACCTACTCCGTCCTGTGCTCCTCAGAGCATGGGCGGAATAACAGTATATAGACACAGACAGGTGTAAGTGCTTGAGGTGGCGAAGCCGCCCCTGGCTTCTCACGGAAAATCGATAGCACTCACGAAAGGTCTCTTCTTCGTCACGGCAGGAAATCTTTTGCCACCTGACCCTTGGGATTGCCCCAGCCCGTCTATCCTAGCTGCCTGTGCTTTTTGCCTCGGGTCACCCAGTCCTTAAGTCAGTCCGTCAGTCTCTGTCTCTCTGTCTCTGTCTCTCTCTCTCTCTCTCTCTCTCTCTCTCACACACACACACACACACACACACACAGACAGACAGACAGACAGACAGACAGACAGACAGACGTATCTCGGCTTGTTGCTGATGTTCTCTCCACCCAGATGGGAATTTTGTGCCACACTGCATTGTGAAGGCGTGCCTAGCTCCCCCTGCAAAGTTCTTGACAAGGCGGAGTTGTTTTGTTTGTTTGTTTAGATGCCGTATCCAGACTGCGACAGTCAGGACTTAGTTGTGCATGGTTAAATGATCACAGCCTTGCTCCACATTCCTAAACGTATGTACTTGGCAGTGTATCTCACTGGGTTCAACAGAACTTATCCCGTGCTGAAAACGGCACCATTCCTGCCAGATGGCAACTAGTGCCCTCCATGCGCAAGCACATTTATTAGGAAGTAAGTCTCACTGATTCCAGTGGAATTACGTGTAACGCAAATTTAGGAAACAATCCTGAGCAGGTCTTCCTAAAACTAAGTCCTATTTTACTGAGCAGGGCGTACTCCCGGGACAGTGTTTTTTATGATTGCAGCCTTGGGACCCCAGCCTTCTTTGAAGGTTTCATCTGCTGCGGCACTCTCAAGTGAATCCCCCCCCCTCCAAAAAAACCCCTCCTTTTAAAATGGTTCCATAGCGGAGGAGAAGTGTGCCCCGGCTCTGTATTGTAGGTAGCGTGGAACTGTCCAGCAAATCGAGCTCCTGAAATTGCCTTACAGTTTTTGTCTACACTTTGAGAGATTCACGCAGGAGAGTTGTGTGACTTTCAGGGATTTCTTACTGCAGCTGCAAATCTATGGTTGCAGATGGTCCGATCCTATCCTCATTGATTTAGAAAGCCTATGGGACTCCTGCAGCAATCAACTCTCCCGGATCACGAGCTACTGGTTTGGCTGGGGTTCTGTTTGGGCTTGTGGGTGGCAAGCCTCTCCTGCCCCCTAGGAATCAACTTCTAAGGTGTAATAGTTTCCCAGTACAGAGACAATAGACGTGTCCAGGATTATGCAGGACTGTCTAGTGTCCTTGCAAACCTGAGCCTTTTTCAGCAGTGATGTTAGGTAATAAATGTGTTGTGTTTTTTTAATGGGGCTGTTGTGAGAGGTACCTCAGTGATGTCTGTCTTACAGCATTTTAACTTCCCATAGTGGATAATGCCTTGTGTGTCTGTCACATTGTCTTTCTCACATTGGCTATGCAGCTATGCCACCATCAGTGTCTTTTTGTCATTTAAAAATTTGAATAATGTCTGTGTCAGGATTGCTAATAGAGAAAATATTTTAAAGGTTATCTTGGCATGGTTGCATTATCCAGATGGAGGCAAAAATTTACCCATACTGAAGGAACAATAGTAAGCAAGAAACCGTGTTAAGCATATTGATTTTCCTCTATGGATGAATATGCACAAAATTAAACAACAAAAAAGGGAAATTTATCTTCCCATTAAAGCTTTGCTTTAAGTAAAAACAATTCACACATTAAAACATCACTGCGATGGTTCTTGATCTGTGGGTTGCAACTCAAAAATGGGTGACAATTCTCTTGCCAGTGGATCCTGAGGCCATGAGGGAGGAGGAGAAACAGGACCAAATGGGAGAGGCGGTTCTGGGGACTCAGTAGCCTATTCAGGTTTGCCTAATGTTCAAGATGGCCATGAAATACAGACTGTTGCTCAGTCATGCTATATATTTATGAAGATGAATATGAAAAATAAAATATAGATGTGTTTATTTATCAAATTTATATCCTGCTCCCACTCCCCTGAACAGGACTCAGGGCAGTTAACAGCATATAAAATACACCATTAAAAGCAATACAAAGATATAATGCATTATC